GGATTGGCAGGTAGATGGGTATCCCTCCTACTAAATGGGAGAGTAGATTTTTTTCTCTCTTGGAACCACTGCTTGCAATCCGCTCCCTCAAGAAGCTCATATGGACCATCAAGAATGGCTATATTAATGCGGTTTAGGGAGAAATCAATTCCTCTAACAGGCTGGAGCTCACAGTAGGCAGGAAAGAATGAGGGATGGCATGGCAGGATGGGTGTTTCTGTGGAGGCATTGATTTCAGAAGAAATCCCTCTCCCTTTAAGCAACTAACCCCACAGGAAGAAATTATTTACCAGATGAAGCACTGAGCCACACAACATCTCTTTAACAGACAGAATCAGGGCCAGATCCTCATGTAGCAAAAAGGAGCAGCACTTCGTTGGAATCAATGGCTGTACAATGATTTACACCAACAAGGGATCTCTCTCAGCAGCTTGTATTTAAATTACCTCTTCCTCTCTCTCCCTTTCTCTATGTCTCAGTGGTGGCATTTAAAGATATGAACATGCCTTGCAAGTTTTGCAGCATTTGCATAGGATGGCATAATTAAGTTATTTTAAATGAGCACTGAGATACTTTAATATCCTAAACCAATAAAATCTCAACTCCAACTTCACTTCTCCCTCCCTCCCTCTTTCTCTCTTTTCTTCTCCATCTTCACCTCTCCAGCTCCTGGCATGACAAGACACTGCACTGGCTGGCTCTAATTCCTAAAACAGTTTCTCAGAGCTTCTTTTCCAATTGAATTAAACTGCACCTTTAGAGATACAGCTCTATTTATTAGTGCTGTTCGCGTGTGGAAGGGGAAAGAAACGCAGACTCCTTCCTCCACCTCCTCCCACTCTTTCTTTTGATTTTATGGGTGTGGCAGTGTTTAAACCTTTGCAGTCTCTTTCTCACAAGCACTCCTGTGAGGAACAGAAGACAGAAGGGGAAGGGAAGCTATGGAAGAGGGATGGTGATGAATGAGAATTATCTCACCCACAAGTGGGAAACCTGCTTGCAAGTTCTTGTTTAATCACTCATGCAATCCAATACCAAGCACTTACCCTATAATGTCCATCTGTTCTAGTGTGGTGGATGGAATGCTTGCATGTCTATCTATCCATCCATCCATCCATCTATGCTAGCCAGAGATATGGTAGATAGGACAGAATTGTATATTTCCAACACAGAATATGGAATAAACTTTACGGTCAAATTTGCAGAGGTTCCTTAATCCATATCACATCTGTGTAGCTCAACATTTTGTGGTTACACTTTTACACGTCCAGACACCAGAAAGTAGATATCTAGGTTTCCCTTTCAAAGATGCAGTCAGTCAGAGATGTAATCCTTTACACTGCTTTTTATATTTACAACTATATACATGCATGTATGCGCATACACACGAACACATTTTCTTTAGGGTATGAGAGCTTCTATGTTTTTTAGTGGCATGTACACACACACACATGCACACATGGAGAAAGATAGATTTTTTTCTACGTCTGTGTTTGTATTTTCTGAGCTTTGCCCTTTGGCAGCCAGAAAAGGGGGGATGTTGAGAGCTTCCCCCTCAAAAAATAAGTTGGAAAAGGAGGGCTGTCCTTACATTGAGAAAAATGCTGCTGTTCCCTTATTTAAAAAAAACAAAAACCTGTTCCATTTCTTCCCTTTTGTGAACAGCTGGGGTGGGGAAAGAACAGAACAAGCAAAAAACCAATATCTTTTTCTTTTCCAAACACAATCTTCTCAAAGCATATCCTCAGCTCCAAAGTTCACACAGTCGATATAGCATTTTTTTATATGAGAGGATGCATGCAGATACAGATACAGCTGTACGGGTAAGAATGTGGGTAGATGGGTGTGTCTGCCTGTGTCTGTATGTGACTGTGTATGGATGTGCCTGGTTGTATAGGAACTGGAGGGTATGGGTGTGTGCAAATGCATGTAAGGATGGAACTGTATGGTCTTATAGGTAATAAAGAGTGTGTATGTGTGGGTGTGTGGGTGTGCAAAGGGGTGTGAGACTGCTCGTAGGTGAATATATGGGGCCGTGTATATGCATGATCTAGCCACCTGTGTACCAGACATTTAAAAATATGTTAGAAAAAAAGGACAGAAATATAAAAAGAACAAAACTGGATATTAATCAAGTATGTTAATGCTCAGCCTGCCTCCTTCTGTCTCTCCTGATTATTACCTCCAAAGAGCCCCACAGTCTACTACTTTATTTTAAAATTTGCCATGCCTCCCCACCCACTGTTCTGCCATTCTGCCTCCCTGTCTGCCTTCCTCCTCCTCTTCCTCTTCTCTTTTCATCCCACATTTGCCGGCTGAACGTGCTTTGCTGGCTGGTTGCAACATGCTCCCCCTCCCACCCCTCTCTGGATTTTCATGAATGTATAGTTAAGTGCAGAACGTCTAAAAGCAGCATGAGTAAAAAATACATATGAAAATGCTGGGTCCCTCCTGCCCCGTTCACCTGCTCCCCTCCTCCAGTATTCTACAATACATTTCTTCCATTTATGGACACACACTGAACTGCACCTTCATTCTGATTTTCATTTAATATTGCAGGATGTTACTTACAGTAAATTGTTCAAAGCACTACAGTTTCCAGAAGTGTGTCGGGCTATTACTGTAGACTGCCATCATACTATATACTGTAGGACATGCACACCCACCCACCCTCCTCAGCCCATAGCCC